ACATTATTAAAATTCAACATGATTCCTTGCAGAGTTCATGATGAATTGCAGAGCACTGAATGCTGCATCCAAGCATTGCTCTGTGAGTCAGGGATCACATCGCCATTGTGAAATATGTGAATAGGTCTTATAAACTTTGCCTGTATTAGACTCAAAAGCTCCTTCCTGGAGGGGATAAGGTCTGAAGCCACACTGGAGTTCTGCCAAATGCCAGAAGGAGGTGGGGATAATGAACTTCTTTTATGGAGAATAATAATAATTACTCACATTTATTGACCACTCCCTGTAAGCAAGTTACTGTTCTGAAGACAACTATAAACACATTTCATCTTTATAAGAATAAATGATTGGTACAGTTATGTATCTTTATGAATGAGATGACTAAGGCACCGTCAGGTCGAACTTGCCCAAAGTCACACATAGAACCAGTGGTAGTATGAGACCATATGCTGCCTTTTGGGTTGTACCACACATTTGACCCTGTGAGGAAGAGCAGAGCTACTGAATGATGCTGGGATGGCATAGCCCTTACCCAGTGCCAGAGACCATGAAAAGAGATTGTCTCAAGGATCTCTCTCAGCTCTGCTCCTTTTCTGACCACATATTGTATCCCTAAACCAACAGTGCTCAAACAACTGTCTGTGGTTTGTGCCCTTTGATATACTAAACATCTCAAAAATTCCATGGATGTAATTAGTTACAGGTAATATCAATAAATATATGTTTTCCTAATATTGCTCCATCTGATAATTTTTTGTGTTTGAGGAGCGTTTCTGAGTCTCCTTTCCACTTAGCACTCTCATGATTTGATTTTTCTCATTTTTCAAAAGTGAAGATTCCTCTTATCCATTCATTTATTACTATGTGAATTTCCCCTATTAGAAAAACAAAAGCAAACTTCCAAAACCTAAAACATAAGAACAATTTGAAATATTGTTTTACATGCATCCTGAAGTTTTCTTTTATCAAGACACGTCAAATCCACGACTTTGGCATGTAGTACATATTTCCTTTCATGCAAAATGGTGGCATTAGACATTTATGGCAGCCATTTCAATGATGCTTTGAAATGAGATATGTAGGAGATTGAAGACAATACGTCTTTTCAAGCTTTGGTACTTTGGTAGTTTTCAAAGAGGGAGCTCTCTCTCTTTCTTTCTCTCCTTTTTTTTTTTCTTTTTTTAACATGGGCAGCTGAGCTAACATCTGTTGCCAATCTTCATTTTTTCCCCTTCTTCTTCTTCTCCCCAAAGCCCCACATTACATAGCTGTATATTCTAGCTGTAGGTCCTTCTAGTTGTGCTATGTGCGATGCCGCCTCAGCATGGCTTGATTAGTGGTGCTATGTCCACATCCAAGATCTGAACCAGCAAAACCCTGGGCCACCATAGCGGAGGGCATGAACTTAACCCCTTGGTTAGGGGGCTGGCCCATCATAATATTTTTTTAACGTCTATTCTTTTTGTTCTTAGTGCACCCTGAAACTACAGTCACAAAATGTATCCTCCTAAAGGGGAGAGTTTCAAGACAGAAAAAATAAAATATTATCTAAAAAGAGTACCATTGTCAGTGATGTTTTATATCATCTAGGCATCCCACTTCAGGAAAGCTACTTGCTTATCTGTTTGTCCTAGAATTAATGACATGGCGAGTGTTTTTAAAAACTAATTTAAATATAAATATTTTATTGAAATTTCATGGTCATTATCCATAAATTGAATAATATCAATATGAAGCTCTAAATTTTTGATGAAATGTATTTAAAACACATACAATAAATGAATGCTTTAATAAAATATTGTATCTTTTGCAAGGTTCAATGAAATCAACAATGTGTTAAATTTTCTAAACCTTTAATTCCATTGTTTTAATCAAGGTGCATTTAAGAGGAAGAGTAACAGATATGCTTAATTGTTGTATGGTACGACTTGGAAGGTGTTTGTGGTAACATTTTCAAAACTTAAGAAAGTGAGTGGTTCTAATGGTTGCATAACAAACCACTCCAAAATATGTTAGTTAAAAACAACAATTACTTATTGCACTGGTCACTATTACATGAGTCAGTAAGTTAGTTCTGTAATCTGATCCTGACAAGGCTGATCCTGGCTTGTTTTGCTATGTGTATGATATCAGCTTGGCAGGTTAGATGATCTAAGAGGCTTCATACTCAAGTCTGGTGGCCATGTTCCTCATTATCCAACACTCTAGTCTGTTCCTATGCACATAACAGCTTTTCAAAGAGTCTGAGAAAATTCCCAAAGATTGTGAAAAAGTCAAAAGGCCTCTCAGAGGCTTAAAAGTGTCACAGTGTCATTTTAGCAATCTTCTGTTAGACAAAGCTAGTAACAAGAGCAGCTTACATACCAGGAGTGGAGAGATTGATTCCACTATTTGATCAGAAAAGGGCTAAGAGTCATGGATATGGGAAGGACTAAAGAATTTGGACCATGTTTTCTACCGCACTCGGCAACAAATCCTTTTGAAAGATATGATTTCCAAAATTTTGGCCTTTGACAAAATTGGAGTCAATCCAATTTTGTTCAATACATTATTTAAAAAAGCTTGGATGAAAGATCATCATGAGAAATTGGCATGTAACTTTGATGGAGTTCAAAGAATTGAGTGATATTTCTGTTACAGCACTATTTCTGGTAGAATTTCCATCCCCATTTACCTTTAATATGAGCAAATAGTCTCAGCATTTTCATTTATTAAAACGTAGAAATATAAATGATGCTGAAACCTCTTGCCTTTTAGCATTAAGTGATGTCTTTCCAAAGATAAGTTAATTAATTGTGATAGAAAATCCAAACACCTACTCATAATATTTCTAATACAAACAAATGTTTCCAAAATATTTTTCAATTTTGATAAATTATATTTTATCCAAATTTTAAATGTAATTATATTTTTAATTAGTTGTATAATTATTATTTTATCATTAAATGGTTGACAATGCAGAAAGAAAAACTTTTGATTTGCACATGACCAAAAAATATGAAGACTACTGCTATGAGTCATGTTCTATATGGAAGTAACAGAATTTAGATAAAGAATATGAACTGTCATAACTAGAAAATAAAAAAAAAATATGATGTTACCAGTGTTTACTGGAAAATGTGCTTCTGATGTGTCTGGTGCCTTCAATGATTTCATTAATTCTATCAACAATTGCTCTTATAATGTTGACCTGGTCACTTAAACATCATGGACCTTGGTTTCCTCAAAGTAAAAGCTAAATGAGTTGTGTTAGTTCTAACACAAAATGTGATCATCCTTGGTCCAAGAAGGACAGAAGTAAAATACAATCTCTATAAAGAGGCATTAACCATCATTGATACAATTTAAAATTAATATAAATGATTTCCTAATTTCAAAGAAAATTAGACATTGTATATTTGCCAGATGTATAGTGAAAAATAAGTTTGTGAACATCTAGAGAAGCAGAAGTCAATAGGAGAGAAAAGCATTCCATAATCAGACATCTGATATGTAAAACACTGTTTCTTACATATTTTATATTTCAATATAAAATGGTTATTTAATTTATTCCTTATCACATAATGTTTATAAATGGAACATTTTAAAAATGATCATATGTTTAAAATAACATGAACATTCCAAATAACTTTATTGAATCTATATAAAAATTTCCCCAAGCTTATTTTTTTCCTTATCAAAATACCTGGAAATATATTTCTCCCACTACATTAATGATTAGTTTGAAATTTTATCTAGATATATTGACTAAAGAGAAAGAGAAGAGTGGGCAAGTTATTCAAGCAAAAGTTAGTTATTAATGTTAGAGAGATGCAGTACTTTTTAATTTGCCAGATTAAATAGGTCTTAAGGCTAATTACTGCCCGGTTTTCATTTTATTTTGAATAAGGTTATATAGGCAATTAGTTTTCAACACGTGAGGCAGCTCCAAACACGTTTTTTTTTTTCACTTTCTTAAGGTAGGTGTGCAGTTGAGAAGGATTGAGAGATTACGTTCACATTCAGAAAAAAAGAATCATAAAGAATTGATCGTGTTTTTGATGTCTTTATAGGAAGAATGATAGCATGAAATACAGGTGTGGTAGACACTCATCGTGATTACTTTTTACCTATAGGATGTTTTGAGATCCAATATACTATTTCTAAGCCTTTGGTGGACCCTATTACAGCTTATCATACTGCCACATGGGAACTCATTTGAAACACATTCAGAATAAGTACCATGTCTTATCAACTTTTCGTTCATGCCAAGTAACCTATATATACAATACAACAGAGATGCACACACACACACACACAAACACACACAAATACATGTTATAAGTATTAGATCAATAAAAAATGTGCTGGATCATTGATTCAGTATTACATTCTGATCTCCTTGATTTTGCCATGCTTTCATCATCTGAATAAAACTCCTTGTTGAAATGGGTCTCCTAAAATTCTATCTGTTCTGTTATCCAAGGACAAGTTCCAGTAATACCTATTTCATGAAGGTGTTTCTCTAAAATGCCTAAATGCATTTGAACTTTTCTTTTTCTCAAATCCTCTATGATACTTACTATTTTCTAACTTATACCGTGACAACTTTTCCACTACCTTACTGTCAACACTGGAATGTGCCTTCCTTGAAAGACTAGCCTTATTTTATCTGCTATTTATATTTTTATAAGATCAACTCATATATTTATTGAAAGCCTAGTCTACTCCAGGTATGTTAGAAGACAGGAGATGAAATTGTTTATTGAGAATATACAAGCTTTTACGCATGATTTCTATACAGTCTTTTAATCTTCACAATCAGGTTAAGAACTAGTTTATGTTATCTCAAATTTGTGGATGAAAAATTAAAGATGAGAGATAGCTGTCTTATTTCCAGTAAGACACAGAGCCAAGTTTAGTTGCTTTGAACCCAAATCCATGACCTTTCCATTGTACAACATTAACTCTTCATAATATTAAAGGATTCTTTGAAATCAATGATTATGGACAAACTTTATTTACATGTCAGGGACAAATTCTACTAAAATAATATGCTCAATAAAAATGACTTTAGTGTCCATTATTTTGCCAAGAGTATCCTTGACTTCCTTATTTCTCAGACTGTAGATCAGGGGATTCAACATGGGGATCACCACTGTGTAAAACACAGACACCACTTTGACTGTGTGCCTGGAGTTTTTGGAATTGTGCACATGGTAGAGAAAGAGGATGGTGCCGTGAAAGATGGTGATGGTGGTCAGGTGTGAGGCACAGGTGGGGATGGCATTGGGGCACCCACTGGCTGAACACATCTTGAGGATGGTGACAATGATAAATACATACGACACGAGAATGATGAGTAATATGCTGACCCCATTAAAGGTGGCAAAAATAAAAAGCAGCAACTGGTTAACATAAGTATCAGAGTAAGAGAGGGACTGCAATGAGGAGAATTCACAGAAGAAATGATTAACTTTGTTGAAACTCAGAAATGATAATTTGATAGCAGAACATGTGAGTATCAAGGAACAAGCTACTCCCCACGCATATGATCTGACCACTAGCATGGCGCAAAATGTTTGGGACAAAGCAGCTGTGTAGAGCAGACGGTTACAAATGGCCACAAAGCAGTCTGTTTACTTTTATGCAAGATATGCTAAACGTCTAAACTTTTTTTTCAGACATCTTCATTTCTGGCCTGCCGGTATGTGGAAATGATCTCTCACTGCAGTCTCTTTGTGTGTGTGTGTTTTTTTTTTTCAGATTGGCACCTGAGCTAACAACTATTGCCAATCTTGCATTTTTTTTCTTCTCCCCAAAGCCCACAGTATATAGTTTATATTCTAGTTGTGAGTGCCTCTGGTTCTGCTATGTGGGACACCTCCTCAGCATAGCCTGACGAGCAGTGCCATGTCCTAGCCCGGGATCTATTAACAGGTGAAACCCCAGGACACTGAAGGGGAGAGCGCGAACTTAACCACACGGCCACGGGGTCGGACCCCTAAATGTCTAAAATTTTAAAGCATGATTTAACCCATTTAAAATTTTTCTTTAAGTAAAAACAATACAATTATTTATTTGTTTTTTTAGGTCTCAATTGTAATTTTTAATATTTACAATAAGAATAAGAATATGAATAGGAGGGATTGGTTATTTTAAATCAAATCCTCCCATAACACTTTCAAATTCCTTGAATATTTTAAGTTCATCAAAGATAAGCCTAGCATAATATGATGACGATTATGTCAGCCCTATAATCAGTAAAAGAATTGAGAAATTTCTAAACAAATCAATTTTTGTATCATGTGTTCCCACTGTGACATTAAGAAGGAACATCCCTAACACTTTTCATTTGTGCCTTTGTTGTTACTTCCATATAGCACTTTAATCTTTGTTTTTCTCTCTTACCCAGAAAATGTGCTTTCAAAATTAATCCTAATTTTTTTCAGAGAGTATGCTCTTCAGCTCACGGAGTCCTAAATGTCAATCCTTCCTCATTGCTTAAGGACTAATAAAATTGGAAGTAATGATAAAGATAACCTAGTCTATCTCTTTATTCAGAGGTGACAAAACAACAGCTGGAGAATCTTGGCTTTCCCAATGATAAAAAATGTAAATAAGGACCCATCTACCCATCTGTGACTAGATCCCAGATCCCCAGACTCCCAGCCCTGGATCCATTTTATTAGCCAGACTCTGATCCATGTTTCTGTTTAGATACTAACATATTTCCTTTGTTAATCATTATACATTTAATTGAAAACTAGAGGCACTAAACCTGTGGGAAATAGTTTAGTGACAGAGTACATGCCACAGAGTTATACTAGAAAGCACTAGAAAGATTGTAAATTGGTGGTGGTACTAAACTATAAAGACTTTTCTTGAGAAAACAGTAATAAAAATAATTATATTTCTCTAAATGAGAAATTATCTTTCTCTAAATTATATTTTTCTATATTTCTCTTAGAACTTGCCAACAGTTCTAAGAGCGTACCATTCTCAAAACCTCTTTCTCTATCATTTCTGGTAAGATTCTCTCTGGTCACACAACCAAGGAAATGGATTTCAGGTGGGTCATCATAAAAATGTCAGATCATATGCAAAATGGAGACACTCAAGGGCCCTCTGTCCCTATACTCATAAATTTGAGTATTAAAGACAACATCAAAAAGCAATCCATTGCAAAGCCAGACACTGTAATTATCAAACTTTTTCCTGATACAATATTTAATTTGGCCAAGGCATTTAAGAATTCATTTTAAACTAGCGTTATATTTAATATAATGGTTCCTGTGTCCCAAATGCTATATAAAAAATATAACAGCTAAAGTATTCTTTCCTATAATTGTTTTCTCCATTTTGTTTTAGTTTTTGCTCTCAGGGAACACATGTGGTTCCTGCTTTATAATCTCAATGAAAGTTAGTCCTTTTCAATTTTTATCACTAGAGAATCTATTCAATCTCTGCTTGTTTAATTTTATTTAAATATTTGTCTCTTCTACCTTGACTCCCCTTCAAAAAATTTATAGCATCAAGACAATGCACATTCCCCTAAAATCTCAGAGCTCTTCCTATCCCCAGTACCCCAGTCCCTGTTGTTCATAGGCCGTCAGTGAGGAGCTCACCTGAGCCAGGCCCTCTAACACAAAGCTCTGTAAAGTAAATGCTCATCCTTTTCTTGCACATTCAGATAAGTGACTTGCAGTGGCTAAATATTTCTCAAGAACTGTCTAAATTAAAAGGGTAAATTTCCCCTCACACTGTTTTCTACATACTCCACATGAAATTAATATCAATCTGTCTTTGGAGTCCTAAAACAAACCTGCCGATGGCAAAGGGAGGACCTCTTCTGTTTGGAAGGGATGCATGCGTTCTTATAGCTATAGTCACCACCTTTGGGACATGAACCATAGAGACGACCTATTGTCTCATATTCTTGAGGTCATTAAATAACCAATTAACATTAATTACCTTTCTCTGATGCAATTCTTGTGTACTAGAAAACTGGAGCAGCATTAGGGGAATTTCACCTGAAAATTTATATTTTAAGGTCACTTCTCTCAGCCTTCTGATCACTTGCGTACCTTCGTACAATTAACAAAATTATGTAATTATAAAAGTCATCATTATCAAATATTACTCAACTGACAACTATATGCTCAGCATAACCCTCTTACTTCTTACTATCCACTCTCACGATAATGGAGAAGTGTGAAGATCCATCTTTTAGGTCATCATAATCCATTGACAGTTAAAGCAGAAATATTTACAAAGTTAAACTTTAAGTTGGGACAATGATCTAGTTCCTCTCAAATCTTTGTCCTATTTTATTACACTTTCTTTCCTCTGCTTTCTCCAGATAGTCTGACCTCTTTGCTTTTGTGCTTGCTTTTTGTTTCTCAAAAAATGCTGCACACTCCTTCTTTATGGTCTTTTTTCCCAGTATTTCCTCTTTGCTGGAATGCTTTCTCTTAAGTTTTTGCTCAAAGCACGTTTTCAGTGAAATCTTCCTTAAACATACTATTATAATGCAGGAGCTACTTCACTACCCAATTTTAGTGTTGAAGTACTTTGCATAGGTTCAAATATATATTTTTAATCTTTACTCATTTCATTTATTATATATTGTTTGTTTCTCCTGCTAGAATAAACGTCCAGAAAGCAGAGATTTTTCACTGCTTTGTTCACTGATATATTCCAACCTCCTAGATCAGCACAAAGTAAGTGTACCATCAATCTTTACTGAGTGATAAATATGGACTTTTAGGGAACTGGGAATAGAACCAAACTTATCAGAACTATGAGGAAAGTGAATGCAGAGAGGATAGGTCACAGAAAACAATAAGGATGTTTTTAGAAGTGATTATTGACACTGGGCAGTCAAAATAAAAGAAAAGAAAAATAAACCAAAAGAAATGTCCACTCTTCTGAATTTTCTATCTCTAGTTAGAAACCAGGAAAAGAAGGTTCAGTATGTAATGAGGATACATACTTGCTCATTTATTCATTCATTCAATAAATATTTATTACAGGTTTATCCTGAGCTAGGTATTGGGGAAAAGGAGAAAGAATATCCCTTTGTAAACAATTATATTTAATGGGAATACAAAAAAACAGATGAATATATAATCATTTTCCAGTAATTATAAATGCAAAAATATATAATTGAAGGCATCATTTTAAATAGGGAGGTCAAAAAAGCCCTTAGTGTGGTGCTATTTGAATATGGACCATTAGGAAGTGAGAGAGCAAATTATGGAAATACCTGGGGGAGGAGGGTTGAGGTTGGGCCAAGTGGAATAGCAAATACAGCCTGTTTTCAAGTAAACAGTCAGCTTTTTTTATGCATCTCAGTAATTCTGCAATTTGTTGTGATGTTCCAAGCTTTCTAAACCTGTTTTGCAAAAATATAACTTGGATATTTCAGAATAACATTATTTATGGCAAAAAGAAAAAGAGGAAGCCTATATGGGTATATTTATGGGTTTCCTTTAAAGCTGTGTTTATGTCACTATGTTGGTATTTCTTAGCACAATAACGAAGTATGCGATGACATTAGTTGAATTCTTTTGCAGTACATTTCATTAAGAAATTACTGTTAAATAAATTCAGATCTGCAGAAATAATCTGGATGATAAAACTAAAAAAGTTTTATCTATATAATTTTAAAACTTTGTCTTTTGTAGATATTCAAGGAAACAAAAAATACTTCAATCAATGCTACAAGCCTCAAAACAAGGAACTATGAGAACTGCTACACTGATTTTTTTCTGCCCCAAATGTATTTTTGGCCAAAAGTGCTGCATGTTGCTTGGAAAACAGGACCTTGTTTACTGTTCTTTGTCCTGAAGTGTCAAGACATTTTAGGGACACTGAGTCCCAGCCTGCCAACTCTATAAATTCGAGTCATTTAAAATATAATTCTACTTATAGGGTATTATATTTCTCAATCAATCTACTTGCTAAGAAAACTAGGTAAGTAATAGGAGTTGACAAAAAACGCAATCATTAATAAAATAAACATTTGATTAAACATTCATGCCAAAATTGCACCTAACAAAAATAATAACAGATTATTATATAATGTAATGCCAAACCTATGTTTAAATTTCCCCAATTGTCTCAAAGTTATATTTTCACAGTTAGTTTGAGCCAAGAATCAAACAAATTTGATTGGTATAATTAAATTGTCTTTACTATGTAACATTCTGCTCTGTGTATTATGTATACCTTCCTTTGTGTGTGTGTGTATGAGACTGTAGAAATATGTGTGATCAGGTAAGTTTTGGAAAAGCTGGAACATTTGTAGAATGCTGTATGTTCTGTATTTGGCTTATTGCTTCGTCGTCATTTGCCTTGTTCTGCACCAGCACTTTTACACTGATACTCAGGAAGTTTTATCAGTTCAGGCTGAGTCTTTATTTTCTTTTAGGCAAGACTTCTTCACAGGTGGTTCTGACTAAGGCCAGTAGCCTCAAATTGTGAGGTATAGGTTAACTAGTTGTCTGACCTTTAGTGCTGCTTAGTCTGATCTGTAGATCATGTAGCGTCAGAATCATTATTTCCACTTAATGACTT